AGAATCTATGAAACTCTGCGTTTTTTTTTTTTGTAAAGGAATTTTCAGAGTGAATACGACATTCACCTGATGCTTTTAAAATATACTTATTTTTTATGCAAGCACAGAATGTAGCCTATTCGAAACCAAAGGAAAAAATAATCATACTTGAGTGAATTTTGTCTTTTGTTACCTCTATTTTTTTATTCCTTCACGTTCCCCAGTGGAACATAGGGCTTCAAGCTAGTGGCCTGAAGTTTCTGTAGGAGTGTTTATTTTTACAGGATGGAGTTGCTAGCCTCATGCCCGACCTTTCCTCTTCACCAACATTATTATTGGCTTAGCGAGGTAAAGGAGTGAGTCGGTGGCCGGGGATCGAACCCCAGACCATGTGCATGGTAGGCGAGCGTCCTAACCGCTGTGCCACCGACGCACTGTTACCTCAATGATGACCACTTTTATTTTTTATCAACAATACGCATATGTAGTTTTTGTTTTCCTGATTTTCAAACCCAGCAAACATAGGAAACACTTTATTTTCTAGTTCATTCAAATCTGAGTCTATTTCCGATACACAAATATTCTGAGTATTAAAAATGACAAACGGTCAGAAAGTAAATTTGACCACGAGTCAATACCAGTCAGTGAACCATTTGAAAACCTGGGAGTGCTGGGCGTTATTATTCGGGACTCTTCAGCACCACGGTTCGAACCTGCTACCTTCTGGTTACAAGGCTACCTTCTGGACCACTTAGCCAGTGGGACCCCACCGAATGATGCATAAACTCTGACCTCTGCCGATTCGTTATAAATATTGAAAATTCCTGTAAACCGACACTTGATAATTATTCTGTTGCTCACTAGTGACTAGCCCCATACAGGAAGTCGCCTGGAGTTTTAGTGAGAAGTTGTACCTAGCGAGATTCACGAAGTCAGGTAACTCGCCTATGACGTCGGTTGGTAGTAGCGCTTCATATATATATAGGATTGGCAGGAGTTAGAATTCATGGGCTGACCATCGGGTTGAGTCCCAGTGGTTGAAAAGTCTACAAGCTCGTCTCGTAGTAAGAAAATACCAGGCTTGAACCCTGGTGGGTGAGAACTGCTGAAGAACCCCCCCCCGCCGCAAAACAAGGACGAATCTGCTATGCAGTACTCTCTGGCTGGTTCTCTAACTGAAATCGGTTTCTCAACAAACTTGTAACGAATTTGATGCCTGAAAACCAACACTTGAGAAAGTGAATTCACTGTGTCTATCAGCGTATGCATATAACACAAAAATTAATGTCGAATGCATCACCTTAAAAGTTACAGCAGAAAAAGAAAATCAAATTATAACTTAAAGGAATAACTCACTGTAGTCGGTCGGTCTGTCGGTTTTCGACATAGAACTTTACACATATGTGCGGCAGATCAAGTCACCACACTCCATGTAGCACACAAAACAAGAGACGAAATGCAAAATAGAGAGAAAGTAAACAGAGGTGGGGGAGACAAAGGAATAGTAATAACGAAGAACAAAACAGTTTCATTGGAAATCATAAGTCACAAGGAGTGGATGCATCTGCGCCAGCCATTTAGAACGATTTTGAGCCATGTCACCAATTGTTCCCAGCTGTTGGTTTTCACCGTCCTGAGGACCCCAATCAGGAAGTCTACACCTTCCCACGTGGCTTAGACTAACTGTTGTAGATTTCATTGACTGATGAGGCCATTTTTTGGTTTGACCGCCGCTAGCTAACTCTTTCCGAGCCTGACCCTATATCAGCTAACATTGCCCATTGTCGAGGAAGGCGATGTCAAGGCAGGAATACGTAACACATGTCCTAACCATCTCAGTCGATGTAAATTCACAGCCTCGTCGATTGATTTCCCCTCCTCCTTACCTAGTACTCTACCGATGCCTCACCTCAATATTGCTCACCTCATTATACCACTTCACACGGGACATAGAACTCAGACAGGCACCTATGATCAAAGACAGCTAATCTTTTCATGTTTTCCACTGTCAATGGCCAGGTCTCACAGCCAGCCAGCCATAAAGAAGGACGGGGCGGACCGAAGAGCAGTACACCCGCCCTTTGGTCGATAGCCAGTCGGATATCACGTCTACGCCAACAACAATAAACATGGCTTTTATTGTACCAAAATAGGTGAAATAGATTACCTTCGGTGGACTTTATACTGTAGACAAGTTCCCTGAAGCTTTGTTAAAGCTATCTAAGCTCTTACTTCTTTAATCAGCGCCCAAATTGATCGAATCATTCATCACTTAGCTAATGGTGTAGCTTTAAGCAGTTTTCTTCTTGCCAGGCTTTACTGTTTTACCCCGATCTAAGGAAACAACTCTACTGATTATTTTTTTCTTTCTGATTCCTCCTATGTTAGTGCATAAACTTCTCAGTTAGAGAAACACTGAGAACCAACCAACCAGGGTATACTGGATAGCCCCGTTTTGTCCTGCCTGGTCTGAAACTCTTCGGCAGCATGCACCTACCGAGTTTTAAAGAACCTAGGAGCTTGCGATCACAAGGAAAGTTCGTAGACCATTCAGCCATTGGAATCTGATCCAATGTAATTATTCTGCACGAATATTTACCTTGTATTTCCATTACTGAGGTTACTTTAACACTATAATACAACACATGTACTCTTTGTACGACAGTGTAGACCTATACAGGTGAACACTAAACAATCCTAAAACTGATCAAATCCCCACGAACCAACATTTGAATATCAATTTAATGCTCAGTAGTGACTGGCCTTATTCAGGTAGGTAGTTACCTGGGTTGTAGTGAAAAGTCGAATTCATGGGCTGACCATTGGGTCGGGTGCCAGTGGCTGCTCAATGGTCTACGATCTCACCTTGTAACTGGAAGGTCTTGAGGTCGAACCCCTGCCGGGGGGTGTACTAATGAAGAGTTCCAGACTGGGACGAAACAGCTATCCAGTACTCCCACATTTTCCACCGGTTCATATTGAAATCCTGTAACTAAAGAAATCCTTGCAAGCTGACACTTAAAAATCATTATTTAATTGGAAAAAAGTGAATGAAGACGCTTTACTTAATGAAAAAAAATTTTACTATGCCGACACAGTACCTTCAAATAATGCTGTATTTCTCTATGGCCTATAAATTAAATTAACTCATAATGAAGTTGTACACTAGAGTAATGTCCAAATTCAATTCACTATGTTCCCTTTGGCTTCGCATTGGAATACAGAGCTCTACCTTATCAGCCAGCACATCTTAATTTCACCTTGTTCTCTGCAATCCATTCTATCTGAATCTCACTCACTTCCACCTTACACAACCTCCTCCATATGACTTTCAGACAGCCAACTTGTCATTCCTCATCCGAATTCCACTCGTTCGCCTGTGGCGTTATTCCCCTCATTCCCTTCTGTATATTTTTTTGCGTATTAAATTTCTTGGATGGTTTATTGTTAATAAAATCATGAGCATTTCTTAGCAGTATTATTGAATCATTTAGATTAATTTTCAAGTATTGGTTTTGTAGGGATTTAGTTTGATGATTGGATGGAGGATTTCATCATGAGCTGATATCAGTACAGGCGGTGACCTGGGATTCTAGTGGGAAACTGTGACCAGCAGGGTACATCAAGTTGAAGATGAGGCGGTAAATGGTAGCGCTATGTCCTGTGTGAATTGGCAGAAGTTAGAATTAATGCACCGATCATTGGATTGGGTCCCAGTGGCTCAGTAGGCCCTGGTTTCAAACCACATTCAGGTGGGTGCGTACTGGTGAAGAGTCCCGAGCTAGGTTGACTTTCCAGTCTGTCTGGATTTTAACATAGAACTTGGCACCGAAGTGCAGCAGTTCGAGTTGCCACGTTACAGATAGCACACAAAGGTAGACAAGAAGATGAATGAGTGAAGAGAATCAATAGAGTTTTGACAAGTATAAGAGTGAAACAGAACGAATGAGTAATGGTAGAAAGGAATATGAAAGATTACACAAGAGACTGAATACATCTGCGTAAGCCATTGATAACGATTTTGAGCCATGTCACCTATTGTCTCCAGCCATTGATTCTTAGAGTCCTGAGGGCGGGCCCCAACCCGGAAGTCTGCATCTCCCTCCCTACCTGACTCAGTTGAACTGTCAAGGATTTCATGGATTGATGAGGCCATGTTTTTCTTTGGCATGGCACCACTTACTCTTTTCCAACCTGCACCTATGTCAATCAGCTAGTAATGGCTGTCGGGAGGGGGAGGCGATGGTTAGGCATGCGCAACACGTCACCTAGCCGTCTCAATCTATGTGACTTTATAGCCTCGTCGATTGATTTTCCCTCTTTGCCCAACACTCTACGCCTAACCTAACGTCAACATTACTTACCTTATTATATCACCTAACGCGAGAAAGAGATCGTTAACATCTGTGGTCAAAAACAGTCAAGCTTTTCATCTCTTCAACTCGTATTGGCCATATTTCAGATAGCCATAGAGAAGGACGGAGCGAACTGCTGAGCAGTACACACGTCCCTTGGTTGATAGTCGGATGTCACGCCTACGCCAGAGATGGTGTAAGTTAGCGAAAGCAGCTCGAGCTTTTCGGATCCGTGCTGAGATTTCTTCGCCAATCAGTCCATTGGTGCTGATACAACTTCCCAAATAGGTGAAGTGGTCAACAGGTTCTATCACTTCACTCCCTATCACTAAGCTAGGTTTTCCAAAAGTTCTTTAACTGACGTCATGATGAAATCCTCCATCCATCCAATCAATTAGATTAGTCAAAAAGTAAGTTAACAATTATCGGATATCTGCTTACTTTCTGATACATCGTTTCAGAATGCCTTAAAACTAACTATAATTTATGTGTGTATATAGTTTTATTCAAAGACCAATCGGAGTTCAGTGATAAATTACTTTCTATCGAGATATATAGTCTAGTTTCGACATCATCATTTTGACTGATACATTCCAGTCCAGTACAATACTGATTACAATTGTTAATATTCTCTTTTTCTTTTTTCTTTTCTTTCTTTTCCCCCAGCTATAATTGCCTGTTCAAAAGAGCAAGTTGTCTTGGCGCCATCTAAATTACCAGATAATCTACAAAATGCAGATGCAGATTATCTAATACAAATGAGTACACATCCAGATGTATTGAATCATTTAGAAGAAAATGCATCATATTGGATGAAACAAATTGAAAAGGTGCAGTCTGTAGTAGTCTGTTATACTTTCACTCATTCACTCATTCATTCATCATATCTACTTTAACGGAAATAGTAATTATTAAACACCAAAATGTGGTGTTCCACATATATGAACACTTCCTTAAAGGGGAAGAATGAATTCATATATTCCGTATTAGTTTGTTTATTAGATGAATAACCACACAGTGAGTGAAACAGTATTACGAGTTGATCACAGATTGATATCAGTTTGAGAACCATTGAAAACCAGCCTCAGCAAGTACTGGAGAGCTGCTGTTTCATCAGCCTATTTTGGGAATCATCGGCAGTACGCACCCACTGGGATTCGAACCCAGGACCTTCCGGTTATAAGGCAAGCTCGTATACCATTCAGCCACTGGTGCCCGACTCGATTCAATGGCCAGCCAGTGCATGAATTCTACCTTCTACCAATTCGTGATTCAATGGCTTATGAGCTCATGAGCGTACTACCGATGATTCCCAAGCTAGGATGAAACAGCTGTTCAGTACTCCCAGCTGGTTTTCAATGGTCCTCTAACTGATATCAATCCGTGATCAACTCGTAAAAACATAACTAATCCTTACAAACCAAACTATAGAAAATAAAACTGATGCTCGCTAGTGACTTGCTAGAGGATTGAGTTTCCTGGAGTCAGTTCGAGTGAGAAGTCGTGACCAGTGAGGTCCACCCAGTCAAGTTTGAGGATGGATGTCCCACCAACGACAATGGTTGGGGTCGCGCTAAATCACGGATTGGTAGAAGTTAGAATTCATACACTTTCTGACCATTTAATTGGTTAGTATAAGTGTACAACTTGGGCACTGTGGTAGTAAGTAATTCCATATTAGTTTGTTTATTAGATGTATCACACAGTGAGAGAAACGGTACTAGTATTAACTGGATGACGTTTCAAACAAAATTTATTACTGTTCAAAATCATATCATAAACTTAACAATTGCCCTGATAAATTAGTCAGAAGGTATGTAAGCAAATGTAAAAATAGAATAAATAATGATGGCAGTGATATTGATAATAATAAAAATAAAAATAATACTAGTAATATTAATGACGACATGCATGTTAAACATGCAACAATAAGGAATCTAAATCATCAGTAGTAATTCCATTCAAGGAAGGAACCTCGGAAACCACCTTACAGCGGAGAATTCTTAACAAGGCAGAAAGGAATAAAAGTGGTTGGAATTCAAACCATCCACAAACTCAATTAGAAACAAGTTTTGTCAATTAAAGCATCAACCCTGTGGAGCCTCTAAAACAAAACAATTTAGTTTATGTAATCCTCTGCTGCTGGGATGATTGTCAGGTCAAATACATAGGTGAATGTAGTAGAACAGGGTCAGTGAGTCAGACTAGCCGAGCATAAAAACCTAGCAGCAAAAGCTAGATTGGTTGACCCGAATAAGATAAGAAATCTAGAGAATAGTTCAGCTATCGCAAGCACTACATGCGGTTACACATAACCATACAGTAGGCTGAATGGGAGAGTATGACAGTTTTAAAATCTAATATAACAGGGTGGCGATTGGGGAAGATGGATAACAGAAACTTTGTTTATCGAATCAACTGCAAACCAACACATGTAATAGGAATGACTCAACACCTGTCCACCCAGGTATCTGGAAAATTCGACTACCCCAACGACCACAAATAGGAGAGGACAAAGAAAACTATAAAACTCAAGTGTCAAAGTCGTGTGATTACAATTGGTGAAATGATTATGAACAATAAATTTTGTTCGAAACTGTGTCATCCAGTAAATAATACTGTTTCACTGTGTGATATATCTAATAAACAAACTAATATGGAATCACCCGACTACGGTTTAATCCTTCGGATACAATACAAAGTGAATGTTAAGCTGCGACTCAACAAGGCTTCTTGAAACATGACTCACTCTGATTTGAAGTCGGATTAATTTTCTTGTGGGTAATTTATACAACTTATCTCTAATTAAGTATCTTATCACTTAACAGTAGTGATTTCTGCTATGTGAACATTCAGTTGGATACTAATATCGTTTTCGTTGAGATTACCTATATAGAGTTTTTCTAATACATGGTTTATACATGAATATTGAAAGGAGCTCAATAATTTTTATTACTTAAGTTATAGAACGTTTTACTGGCCAAGTTAAACTTTAAGCAGCACTCACTACCAATAATGGAGTGCGATCGGACACCGATGAACTTGAAACGCTCTTTAAGCAAGTTAGTGAAACCTGGCAAACAGTTAAACCTAGCAGCAAAATCTAGATTTGTTGACCTGAATAAGATAAGAAATCTAGACAAAAGTTCAGCTATGCCACTCACCACATGCAATCACACACAACCATACAATAGGCTGGGTGGGATAGGATGACAGTTTAAAAATCAAATATAACAGGGTGGCGAATTGGGAAGATTGATAACAGAAGCTTTGCTTATCGAATCAACTGCAAACCAATACGTGTAATAGGAATGACTCAACACCTGTCCAGCCAGATATATGGAAAATTCTACTACCCCAAAGACGGTGACAAAAAGGAGAGGATAAACAAAACTGTAAAACTCAAGTTTCGAAGTCGTGTGATTATAATCGATGAAATGATTATGAACAATAAATAAATTGTGTTCGAAACTGTGTCATTCAGTAAATACTAATACTGTTTCACTGACTGTGTGATACATCCATCTAATAAACAAACTAATATGGAATTACTTACTACCACCACCACAGTGCCCAAGTTTTACACATATATTAATATGAATCCATATATATTCGCTTAGACCTATCCACAACTATAACATATTATTCATTAATTTCATTTTGGCGGTCGTCTCGAATTTATTGAATGAACAGATTTACATCATGCGCTTATTGTTAACCAGTGGCTTATTCACACTTGTAACTAAAAGCAGTGTACAACAGAGATGATTGTGTCCGAGAAGATAATACTAGACAATAGTGGTTCATGTTAACTGTTACTTCAACTGATCAGTAACACCAGAAACTACAGCTAACTGTAGTCAATAGGTTCAGAATGTGAAAACGAAAAGAAAAAAACTGCTCTCCAACTGAACACCAAGCACAAATGACAATCCGGTGAAGCGGTCTTTAATTTGTCTTAAGGTCAAATGTGTCTGGCTTACATATTACGTCAGTTTTGTTTTTGTCTGAGGGCTACCGTCGCGGTATTTTCGGGGGATGGTGACTAGCAGTAGAGTCGAGGATGCACATTTCTCTCTCTCTGTGTTTGGGTGCTGGATTCTAGTTTCAGTGGGAATACTGTCACTCACTATGGACTACAAGTACAGTGAGGGTTTATGGAGAGTTGTCATCTGAAGTGGTGACGATTAGTGGCGTCCATCAAGGATGCCCATTGTCCCCAGTCCTATTCAACTTCATCATAAACGTACTAATGGACTGAACCCTAACACACTTCAGCGACTCAGGGATTGACTTTCTACCAGGGAATAATCTCGTCAACTTGGAATATGCGGACGATATAGTCCTTCTAGGCGAGGACTCTGACAAAATGCAGAGTCTTCTGAACACCTTGAGGGGCTGCAATCTTCGTATGTTTGGCATGCGATTCGCCCCTGTAAAATGTAAGATGATGTTGTAGGATTGGACTGCACCGACCCCTAGATTAGAAATAGGAAGTGAAGTGGTAGAGCACGTTGACCGCTTCACTCACTTGGGAAGTACCATCAGCTAGTGCCAACGGATTGATCTCCGACGAAATCTCAGCACGAATACAGAGGGCCAGTTTCGAATATGCCAGTTTACGCCATCTCTAGCTTAGTAGACGTGATATCCGACTATCGACCAAAGAGCGTGTGTACTGCTCACCAGTCCGCTCCGTCCTCCTTTATGGCTGTGAGACCTGGCCATTGAGAGCGGAAGACATGAAAAGATTAGCTGTGTTTGATCATAGGTGTCTGCGTTCTATCTTCCGCGTGAAGTGGTATGATAAGGTGAGCAATATTGAGGTAAGGCGTCGAGTGCTAGATAAGGCGGGGAAATCAATCGACGAGACAGTGAAATTATATCGACTGAGATGTTAAGAACATGTGTTACGCATGCATGTCTAGTCATCGCCTTCCTCATCGGACAATGTTAGCTGACATAGGACCAGGCTGGAAAAGAGCTAGCGGCAGTCAAACGAAAAAAAAACGAAACGAAAACATGGCACCAGTCAATGAAATCCACAACAGATAGTTTAATCCAGGCATGTATGAAGGAGTAGACTTCCTGGTGTGGGGTTCTCGGGACGGTAAAAACCAATGGTTGGAAACAATTGGTGATATAGCTCAGAATCGTTCTCAGTGGCGCAGATGCATCCTGTCTTTTTGATTTATGATTTCCAATGAAACTATATTGTTCTTCGTTATTACTATTCCTTTGTCTCAAACCTCTGTTTACTGTCTATCTATTATGCATTTCTTCTACTTTCTTCTCTTGGTTTGTGTGCTACATGGAGTGTGACGACTTGAACTGCCGCACATATGTGTAAAGTTCTATGTCGAAATCTGATCGAACGACTACAGGTACGTCCAACTGACGAATACCGAACAGGACTCAATGGGCACACCTGATTACAGTGCTAGTCTGCATCTATCAAATAACATTATGTTTTAACAGTTTACTCATCAACATGACAGTTTCATAAATTTCACTATCACAGTCTAAATTCTCTCTCTCTCGCCCATTTCCGCGTTAAAGTTTTTCAAGATCTTATTTCCAAATAACCGTAAAGAATACACCAATTTCATATTCCTCCTAAACGCAGACTTACTGAGGTCATAGGCACACTCACTGTTTACGCAGGCTTGAGTGAATTTTCTTCACTTCGACATTCACTGCACGGGGTAGTAATTGCAATGCATCCAGACCGGTTAGTGGGTATTGTAATGCTTAGTTTTAATTAAACATCCAGATTCCTATGGTATGTAACAGAGGAATTGAATTAGCTGTCACTGGTCAGAAAATGGAAGTACAGTTGGTTGACACTCTACACAGTGCATGTTGGCGTGCGCTGCTAGTCACACAAAAATAATGGCTGAAACCCTCAACGATCGATCACTGTCAGAGTCTAGTAATTCTACAACAGTATGCTCCGAAGCACATTATGGAGCAAAAAAAGTAGCGTCGTTGGCATAGCGATTAGGATGCTCACCGACCATGCGCATGGTTCGGCATTCGATCCTTGGCTGACGCACACCTGATGCCAATGGTCGGTCTGCTAAATTTAGGCTACCGATATCACACATGCTAAAAATTCCATGCTTGTATCAAAAATACTGTGTGGAGTCAAGCTACAATGAAAAAAAAAGAAAAAAACGTGACACATATCTGATCGCAGCCTGTCTGATTCAGCTGTCATCCGTCATCTACATCTGTCAGTTTTGTTGGTCAACCAAGGCATCATGTGAGACTCATTTGCAGACCACCTAATTATCTGAAGATGTCCCACTTTAACTTATGCTTTTAATGTCAGTACTACTTACTGCATTGTCCCGCTTCAAGGAAGGAAGCACTGTGAAAAGAAGAAACTTATGCTCAGAAACTCGTAACCTTTTCATCTAGTTTCAGTGTCATGTTTTAGAGCTGTGGATTAGCAAAAATATGAAAATTAACTTTACTTTCATATGTATTCTTAGCATGATATTTGGGATTGATTTTAGATATATTGGTGACAGACGAGTGAGACTGGCGGTTCGCTACACTAAACACCTTGTAATGTAGTGCATTGACATTCGAAAATTTATTTTGTTTCTGCCCATATAATTATCAGCCAACATTTTATGTTTTACCGACATTCTTTCAAAGCACTTCATGCAATGTATTTTAGTGATTTCTTATTTAAAAAAATCTAAATTGTTCATATGTATTTATATAAGTTAATTTTCGAAAATTAGGAGGTTAAAGAAGTTGAACTGTTACGTGTTGAACGAGAACACAATGGCCCACATGGAGAGTTCGACTTCTGGAAGTGTCGAATGACACGAATGAATTCTCTGGTTAGTCAACTACGACGAACAGATATAAGCAATGTGTTAGCAGCATTGAAACATGCACGTTCCAAAGCTTTGGATGTAAGTTGAATATTGTTTATCAAACACCTATATGTATATATATATATATAGTTTCCTTTATTTCATAGAGGAACATAGGGCTCCATTCCGTTCGGTTCTCTGCTTACGTTTTCACCTGCCTCCATGTCTGTCCACATGCTTTCATCTCATCTTCTCATGACCTCCTACTCCTCTATGTCACCACCACACTGACGATCAACTAATTCGCCGATTCCCATTAGGGTTCCACTCGACAGAGGGATTGACGTGTGATGTTGCTTGATGGTTTTCTCAGAGTATGGCCAGTTCACCTCCATTTCTTCCTGCTTATTTGTTGCACAATCGGCTCCTGCTGGGTTGGGTTGGTTCGCTCATTGCCACAGATCACACCTTGTTGCTGATCTTTTGTGGTCAGCCGGCCATCTGAACTTCAATGAAGTATTGAGCGAAGACAGCTGTTGATGAAAGTCCGTAGTTTGTTCGAAGTGGCCTTAGTGACGCGCCAAGTCTCTGATCCGTATAGTAAGTAGCACTGACTTCATATTGGAGTTGAAAATGTGGATCTTATTTTCATTTTCATGCTGAGTAGTGCCACTGAACCCCACACAGACTTGATTGTTATGAAGGCTTGTCTTGCTTTCCAAATCTTCAATTTGACATCCTTATGAGTTCCCTCAACCTGTAGTTGAAACGAAGCTTCCTATGTAGGTAGGTAGGTAGGTGAATGATAGTTGCTTCTCTCAGATTTCTCCTATTTATGTTGGCTGATTGTTGTCCGTTGTTTTTGTGGTTGTTGCTGTTGGCCAGGAATCTTCATCATCACCTCTGTTTTCTCCATGTTCACCTGAAGTCCTATCTTCTCTGAATGCTTCTTCTGCCAACTCCTTGCTTTTCACTTGCATATCTTCCAGTTTGTTGGAATTCAGACATATATCATCGGTGAAGTCCAGATCCAGATCCTACAAGTCTTTTGTGTGAGTCCATTTTATGCCTGTTTCCTCGCTGCCAGCTGCCTGTCGCATTATATATATAGATATATATATTAACAGCAACTGGCATTCATGTGTCTAGTAAAATTTCTTCAAGAATTAGCCGATTGTAATGCTAAGCACTGACATAAGGAAACAACTTTTGAGGGGAGCAGTTCAGATATATCCAGGGATGATACTCCATTTGGTAAACAAACTAGTGGAAACCATGTGATGAATACAAAGAACTATAAAAAAAATTGTGGGGACCAAATGGAGAAAACTGTATTATCAAGATAACTAACTAATGAAATAAGCTATGTATTTAAACTCATAGTTCCCTGCTGATATTTGTGAACCATATCTATCCCCCTTATTTGAGTATATGGGACCTTTGAATAGGTGCCTGGGTATTAGCGTTAATTTAAACTTAAAATTGGCGGCAATGTTATGCATTCATGGGGACCAAATAACAAGATAAGAATGTACAATCTGGTCCAGAAACAGTAACGCATAGTTGTACGCATAAATAATTAGTGTCACATAATACTCCATGTACAAGAGGCAGCTCTTATCCCTCAGTAGGTTGTGTGTGTGTATAACACCTTGGCGTTTGAAATAATTACTAACGAGCTATTACGACTGCCAGTTAGATAAGTGATATTTTTACTATTGCTAGCGGCTATTGTAGATTTCCTCTAAGAAATGTGGAGAGGTGTTAGCGATTAGTTGCATTATTATTATTGTTCCCTTGGGTTCCTAGTGGAATATAGAGCTTCAGATGCACGTCTCCACTTGCTTCTGTCTTCTGTTGTACTTTTCACCTGCATCCATGTGTTAGTCCATTCTGTTTCAACTCCTCGTCACACCATCTCCTCCATGTCACCCTTGGATGTCCCACTCGCCGCTTCCCCACCGAGTTCCACTCGAGCGATGGCCTGACACGCGATGTCACCCAACGGCCCCCTCAGCGAGTGTCCAATCCATCTCCACTTTCTCCTGCATATTTGTTGAGCGATTGGTTCTTGTTTCGTTTGTTCCCATAGTTTCTTGTCGGTGATTCTTGTTCTTTCCGGCCATCTGATCTTCAGTATAGAGCCAGCGAAGACAGTTGTCGTTGTTGATAAAGGTCTGCAACAGGCTGTTGGAAATATTCTTTGTGACCCGCCAAGTTTCTCATCCATCCGTATAGAAGAACTGACTGACTTGACGTTTGTATTGAAAATCTGAATTTTGTTGTTGAGTGTTGCTGAGTGAGTGACGAAGATTTCCAGATTGGTTTCAGGTTGATGAATGTGTTTCTCGCCTTCCCGATTCTCGATTTGACATCCTCATCCGTTCCTCCTGCTGTAGTTGAGACAATGCCCCCTAGCTGGATAAGTGAATGAAGTAACTTCTTTCAAATCCCTCCCATTGATGGTGATTGGCGCTGGATGTTGCTGCCACTGTTGTTGTTGTTTTAGTTGGTTGGTTGGTTGGTTATTTCCATAATCTCCGTTTTGTCTATGTTCACCTGGAGTCCTGCCTTTGCTGCTTCTCCGACCAGTTTGTCGGTTTTCGCTTGTAAGTAAGTCTTCGATTTTGTGTGACATCAAACATAAATCATCCGTGCGCGAAATCCAGGTCTTCTAGGTTTTAGGTTTACGTCGGTACAGGATATCCCTGTTTTCTCCTTTCCCACTGCCTGACGACGCATAATCCAGTCCAACACAATGAAGAATATCATTGGTGATAATAAGCACCTTTGTCTGACTCCTGTGTTTCTCCATGACTGATAGATAGAATTGCGTCTCCTGGTAACCATCTTTACATTATATGTATTGACCATTTTCTATTGACTTGGATTTTAAACTTTCTGGTCACCTGATTTACTTTTTATTAGTTGGTATATTTCGTCTATATTAACATGTTTGTTAATTGCATTTTCGTTTGAGTACAAGGCTTCTAGGAATTTCCTGGCACTTTTGGTGATGTTTCCTCTGTCTAAGATTTTGACATTATCCCAATCAAATTGATGACCATAATTGTCTATATGCACTGATACTATAGAATATATATCGTGTCTTTTCACGGTTGATTTGTGTTCTTGGATTCTAATTCGAAGGGGACGCCCACTTCGACCACCGATGTAATGCTTGTTGCAGTTCATACATGCAATTTATTTTGTAAATGGTATTAATTTTATCGCCTTCTGTTGGATGTGTCTTTCGGTTTGCATAATATCGAATTAAGCGATTTTACTGGCTTGTGTGCTATATCTATATCAAACGGTTTCAGTATTCTAGCTGTTATTTCAGAGATATTTTCGCTTATATATGGTAGGATGAATTTTCTTGTGGTCTTTGATGATGGTTTCTTGTTGGTGTTGTGATTCGAATTTAAACACTTTTTGATGAAATTTTGGGGATAACCATTCTTTTTGAAGACCGTTTGTAAGTATTTTTCTTCCATTCTTTTCAACTCTGGAGTGCTACAATGTGTTTGAACTCTTTTAAACAATGTCTGCACACAGTTTCTTTTGTTAGTGAGTAACTGGATTATTGCTAGTATAGTTGAGTATTTGATCTGTGTGTGTGCACTGATTTTCTATATACTTGTGTCTCTAAATCTCCTGTGTTGGTTCTCCTGATTAAGACATCTAGAAATGGGATTTTGTTGTGGTCTAATTCTTCTTCTCTCGTGGTGAATTTGATGTCTTCAAATATGCTGTTTATTAATTTATGGGTATATTCTTAATTATTTCTCTTAATTATTACAAATATATCATCAACGTAACGTACCTGTCCAGATTTTCGGTTTAATTATAAGTAATAATAATTTGCTTTATTCCAAAACAGTACTTGTGATACAGAATGGAATTCTCAGCATTTTTACTACAGTATTGCATCCAGTTAGTACATTATCAATAAATAGAATTCTACATAGATTAAGGAAATCTCAGTTCATTATGACAACAACACATTGGCATGTCGGTAGCAAAGGTAAAGCTGAACAGTGTTTGACGGTGTTAGAAAAGCAGATGCTGTCATATTTACTGGCGTAAGCGAGAGAAAGAAACAAGTAGCACATAACGGAAAGAAGAGAGAGGGAGAGAAAAGGAAAAGAAAGAAAGAAAATTTTGTACCTATAAATGATATGAGTTGGAAAGACGAGATCCAGTTGTACTACCTACTATTTAATGAATTATAGGTGTCACGCTTAATGCTTTCTTTATCGCACAGAACACGAGCCAAGTAGGGTATGGTTGAGTTTTGTACTTGCTGGTGCGAGCATGTAGTTTTCTATATAGGCTTCTGGCTTTGCTTGATGAGATACAAGGGGAGAGTTGTGAGTGAAGAGGGTGGTGTGAGTTAGATAGAATGGCTGTGGCCCATTTTTCACATGAGTCCTAGTGCCTGCCTGTCGACCAGAATATTAAAAAGCTGGTTAAGTGTCACGTTGCTTACCCTGATGACAACCTTTAACATCCTGCGTAATATGTTATAGTCTTTCTTCAGTAGCCCTGGAAAAACTAAGGGGGAACAATAGAGAATAATAGGTACAATGCGAGAGTTAACGAATTGTAGGAGTAAGGGTTGGGTTGGGTTCTACCAGAAAGTCGTCACTTCTTGATGTAGAAGGTGAGACGGAATATTTTCTTAGAAATCGTCAAGATATGAGACGACCAGGAGAGATCAGCAGATAGAATGATGCCTAGGTATTTAATTTCCGACTTGGTTTCTATTTCACTGCCATCTATGTTGCACAACTCGTGAGAGCCAACCAGTTTGTTTAGGTCGGATTTATGCTTAAAGGTGAAATTGACTGTTTGGCATTTGGAGGGGTTTAGGGTAAGACCATTTTCCTTGGACCACTGGCTGATTTCTGACAGAAAGCCGTTGAGTTTAGAGCAGTCGTTTTGACATTTGATAGGCAAAGATACAGACAGATCGTCAGCATATTTGACAAAATTGATGTCATTTGAAGATGGTAAGTCATGTAGAAAGAAAGAAAAGAGAAGTGGTGAGAGTACAACGCCTTGGGGGACACCGGCTTCAGTGAGTACAGCAGAGG